TACCAGCATGAGCTTGTGTTGCTGATGTTTGCCATCTCGCTCCAGAAGGCTCCATCAAACTTCTCGGGCCCCGAGTTGGCTCCAAGGCGGCCCCACGAGAGCCGTGATAGGGCCGCAGAACTCCGCCAAGGGCCCAAAGGGGACACCCAAGAGAGCCCCGGGAGAGCCACAAAGTGGCCTCAAGGTAAGGGTACGCGGGCCTCAAATCATAAATTGACACCCAAGTGGTCCAAACAGCCACAATATGGTACCAAGGTAATCCCGCTGCCCCAAGCTGCCCCACGGCAGCCGAAGTGACTGCAAATACGAATCAAGATGGCCAGAGAACCCCCTCCTGTGAGGCTCCGAAGCGGGCCCCAGCGGGAGCTGTCAAATACAAATGTGACCCCAAGAGAGCCCCCAGGAGGCACACAACAGACCTCGGAAGGCTCCAAGATCCCACAAGAGACGGCTCCTGGAGGACCCGAACAGTGCCCAACCGCGAGCCCACGTCGGGACCGATTGGCGGTAGGCCCCAGGATGGCCCAAGCCAGTCATAGCCAGCCCCTCGAGGCCCCAAGATGGCACAAAAGTAACCCAACATGATCCAAGGCAGCCCCCAAGAGGCCCCTAGAATCCCCTCCAGAGGCCCCCAGGGGAACACCAGAAACCTCCCAAGGACATCCAAAGTCCATCCAGATGTTCTGATAGCCCGGGAAGCATTGTTTAGCAGATATACAGGCCAATGCCCTGCTCCTGTTTCTGCGCTTTGATCGCGACATCTGGGTGGGAAGGTGCTCTGTTGAGGATTGATGCCAATGTACCAAGCGACCGCTTCTCCCAAACGCGAGCTTCACACGACAGCTTGGGGACACTACGACCACCCAGCAACGCCCCAATGCCCACGGGCACACGAACACGTGGCAGGGATGGTACAAGTTGCGCACTTGGAATGTTCGAACCAGATGGGTACTTCAATTGTGGCCAACGGCATCGCCCGAGAATTGTCCGAACAAGCATCGCACATAATCCGCGCTCGCCACTTTTCAGAACATCCTACATGGAAATCCTGCGAACACCTCAGCCTGCAGTCGTTCAGTATGAAGCTGGGAGCACCAGCGCGGCCATTGCAGCAAGAAGACCACGTGCCTGGCTGCACCACTGCCCCAACGATTACCTGGCACCACTGGACAGAGGGCAACCCACGCCGCCTGCACGGGTTGTCGCAGAGGCCGCGCCGACGAGCTGCGCTCGCGTTGAACGACCATGAGCACCTGTCAATACATAGCTGCTGGTCCAACAATGTAACTTCGAATCCGCATCAGCGACAGCGCGGGTAGGAGGGATGTGAGTACAACGTGGATGTCAAAAGCGATGGTGAATACAGAAAGCGTGTTAGGGCTGGGATGATTTGCGGCAGCCATTCCGAAGCAGGCTCAACTGAGCTTGAACAAAGGAGACGAGAACGATGACGAGGACGACGAAACAGACGAAGGAAGAAGAGGAGGGCGGAAACCAGGAGGGCGTGGAGGATGACGCAGGGGAGAAGCTGGAGGCGGATGACGCAACGAAGGCGAGGGGGAGGCGAGGCGAGGTGCGCAGGACGAGGAGGAGGCGGGACGAGACTGGTCTCCTGGAACTTCGGCCACGTGACTGCCCGACGGCCGTCGAAGTCTACCAGCCTGCCGGGGGGGGGGTCCGAGGCAACGCCGGACAAAGACGAGGGGGAGAAGGCAGGACGAGATCAATCGCATAGCGGAAAACACACATGCAGGGAGGAGGCGGACGAAGGGGACATGCTGAGAGACGTCAGGAGCATCAGCGAGAAAGCGAAGCACATGTTTGAATAAACGGGCGCAAGACCGCAAAGGCGGTGCAAGCGCTGGTCGGGCTACGGGCGGGACGCGCCAGGAACTCATTGAGGCACAGCGGAGACAGAGAAAAGAAGAGGCGGCAGCGAGAACGCGAGAGCAACTCAGAACGTGCACTCCGTCGCGGGGGTGCCGAAGATGCAAGGCGCCGAAGCGCGGCTGCGACACGGGCAACGGTGGCTGGAGCCGAGAGCGCGGTACGGGAGTCCTGGGCGAAAGTGACATTCCTGAGCGGCGGGAGCGCACCTCCTGGTTGTATTGCGAGGAGGTCCCGAGCGAGAGCACGATTCTGGAGCACAGGAGAAGAACGTCCAAGCCAAGAGCGCGACTCTTGCGAACAATCTGCGGATGCCCCTAGCGAGAGGGCGACTCCAATATACATGCAGAGGACGTCGGGAGTTTTTCATGTCGTGGGCGAAGAACTGCATCCGTATCCGCGGCCTCGCGGGCCGGGCTCGTGGGCCGCGACCCAGCGGACACAGGGCGCTTGTGGTCGCGGATGCCCCGCGCGAAGCGCACCCGTGCGGCAGCGCATCCGCGGGAGATCGCGCCCCGAGAGCCCAGGCCGCGAGGGTGCGGATGCGGATGTGTGTTCGCCGCTCGCGGGGATGCAGCCACGGGGGCCCAGGGGCACAGTTTCAGCCCGAGGGCTTCCTTCAACACGGTAAACCTGTGTCATAAGGACGCGCGGTAAGGATGCAAAGGCCCAGAAGGGCCACTTCGAAACTTCTCGAGCGGGGCGCGGCCAGCCAAGGTGGCCAAGGATGGGCCGAGGCGAAAAAGGATGCGAGGGTACCCTTGGGCAGGCCACCCGTGCATGCTATGCGGGTCGAATGTGCAAAGACACGGTGTCAGTGCTGGGGGGGGGCGCCTCGATCAAAAACAACATACTTTCCTGCGCAGCTCAATCAACAATACTTGCTCTGCAGAAATACAAAGAAACGCCAAAAAACAAAGGGAAGCCCCTTCCCTTTGACCCCTTCCCCGCGGGGGGGGGTCCTGGGGAGGGGTCCCGGGGGGGGGGTCCCGGGTCAGAATGCCACCCCCCGGGGCGTGTCGGGGGCACACGGCAAAAATCCAGGACGGGCCAAGGGCCGAGGCCGCCAGGGTCGGCGGCGCCAGCCGTGAGGCTTTGGCAAATAAAAAAACAAGACAACAACACTGATTTGAAGACCGGTCACTTATTATTGCGCACGTACCTGTCCATTTGCACGCCGAAACCATCGATTCCCACCTTCTTCGTTTATGCACGGACCTCCGTCTGGCTGGCCAACTCCATGGTAAAAAACCCAGGCAGGCCAGCACAACCGGGTCTGCCGGGCGGACGCTGGTATGGGCAGGCCGGGCGGGCGGGACAGAGAGCCGGAGGCTTTGATTTTCGAGGCTGCTTTCAGGGGCAACGATAAGGGGGGATAGGCATAGGGGGTGATGCGTCGACCTGGAATCGGCGATACATCGTCGATGGATCGGCGATGGGCCCCCGATACTGAATCCGAACCTTCCTGGGCGGGGTGGGGCTATCGGGTCCCTATCGGCGATCAATAGGCGATTTGGTGTCGATGCATCCCCCCATACTGCTTATGTTGTTCACATCGTACTTACGGACCACATCCCAGAAATAATTTCGAACACCCGGAAAAGTGCCGAAAGAGTGTCGAAACAGTGTCGAAACAGTGCCGAACGAGTGCTTCCCAGGGCCCGACACGTGAAAACACTAAGTTTCGGTGCTTTCTTGGTGCTCGATTTTCTTTCGGGTGCTCCAAGCTGAAGTAGGTTGGAACATCATAACCCTAGGCCTATTCCAACCTTCCGTTGCCCCGATGCTTTCCCTTTCAGCCACATCTGCCCCGCGGACCCCAGCCCCAGCGGGCGGGCCAGGCGACAGGCCGCCCTAAAAAGGGCAGGTCTGGCGGGCGGGCCTTGATTCGCGGGCGGACTGGGGCGGGCGGACCCTAGCAGGAGCGAGAAGGCCCAGGCGAGCGCGCGTCGAAGGGACCCCCCCCAAGAGAAAAGCCTGGAGTGGCACAGCGCTCGCACAGCCGCAGCCCCGTCGCGGGACAGCCTTCCCGAAGCGAGGGAGGAGCCCGAGGACCGCAGCCTTGCGGAGAAGGGAAACGAAGCAGCGGCGGCGCAGCGTCTTGTTGCGAGAGGGTCCAGCGGGACGTTAAAGAGGGCGGATGGGCTTCCAAGCACTCGACCCACCGTACCCTAACAGACGATTTGGGCGGGCGGACCTTGACTGGCAGGCTGGGCGGTCGGTCCCAAAATGGGCGGGCATGGCAGGCGGACACTATCGGGCGGGCTGGGCGGGCGGGACAATACATCGCGACTCCAGTGTAATGCGTGCGGACAACTCAGGCGCGAGAGCGGTGCCTGAGTATACTGTGAGAAAGACAATACGAAGGCACATGTACATATGCCTCTCGAACAGGACTGCGATCACAAAGTCAAATGCGATGACGTCTCAAGTCTATGTTGTTCCTTTCGAACCTCAGGACCACATCCCACGACTAATTTCGAGCACCCTGAAAAGTATCGGGACATGGTCTGTCCGACACGCTGGCAAGGTGCCGAACGAATATCGCCTCCCAGGGCCCGACACTTGAAAACCTTCCAGTTCCTTTCTAGTGATCAAGGCTCAAGTAGGTTGGAACATTCTAAAATCAAGTATTACAAGCCTCGTCAAAAATAAACAGAAGACTTCTGAATTCGGTGATTGTGGGTACAGTGCTGCTCCAATGCTGACGGATTCCTGTTGACTCGGACACGGCGTTGTCCAAAAACCAACCCCGCCCTCTCAGCACTGAAGAACGCGCTCTCTGACGAGTGCCCGAAAGCATCGTGCTCCAGGATTTCACCTTCCATGTCTGGATACTTTTGACGAGGCTTGTAGGTTGGAACATTCTAAAATCAAGTAGTAGGAGACGAGGGCCCACGAGCACAGCTTGATCAACAATACCCTCGCGGACCCAAAGAAGACGCTGCGGCAGCCGAGGGCGCACGGCTTGGAGCCGGGCGGCGCGCGACGAATTCCAACTCTTGCGCCGGCGGGCTCACCTATTGCATCAGCCGAATCCATGAAGCACTGCAGCACCACAGGACGGCTGGGAAGTTTCAAGAAAGTTAACACGGCGAAGGACCCAGCCATGTGCAGCTGTGAACGCCGCAGTTGTAGGGCCACGACATGCTGCACTCGGTGGGGGAAACGCATGCGCACTGCACCACTGGGACCTTAGGGGAAGCCCCCTGAAGTCAGCAAGCGAAGAACGGTATAAAATAAACTTTCCGCCGTCGGAGACACCTGCCCCTGGGCGGCTGGAAAGTTTATACCCCTACGGTGCCACCGTAAGGGTATAAACTGTCCAGCCGCCCTGGGACAGGCGTCCCCGACGGGGAAACAGTGTATCTTATACCGCTCTTCGCCCGTTAATGAAGGCTACGTCCCCCCTCGAAATCGAGCGCAAGTGCTTCCAACGACGCGGCGACGCCCCTTTTTCCCATAAGTTCAACCTCGATTTCCGATGGAAAACCTCAGGAAACCCGAGGCAAACTTTGAAACAATCGAGGAACACCGAGCCCCTCCCCAGCGAAAAGGGTTCCTTCTTCAGCGCCCCGACTCTACGTCCCCCCTCGAAATCAGGCGCAACTGCTTCCAACGACGTGGCGACGCCCCCGGCCCCCGGAGGCAAATGCCGACGCCGCGGAACCGGCGAGACGGCCATCTTTTTGTTGCCCCCGCGGGGGCCGCGCTGCGCGCGCCCGGTCAGCATTGAAAAATTCGGGGGCGGGCGGGTTGGGTAAGAGATTGCGTTTGACTTTGAGGAGGGGTTGGGGGGGGGAGGGGGAGGAGGAGGAGGAGGAGGAGGAGGAGGAGGAGGAGGAGGAGGAGGAGGAGGAGGAGGAGGAGGAGGAGGAGGAGGAGGAGGAGGAGGGGTGGTAGGGTAGAGAAATACGGATTGCACGAGGGAGCAAAAAAAATATCGCATTTGCGCGCGCACAGACTGCTGCATCCCAACCTTTGCACGGGGTGTTGTATGATGCGCGTGTGATAGCCTGAACTCTTGCATGCGCTATTGCGCACAAGTTCGTGGCCCACTTTGCAAAGGGCCCCTCCCGCCCCTGGCGCGCTCCGCGCGCCAGGGGCGGCGCCGGAAGCGCCGCCAGGGGGGGGGGGGCCAAGGCGCCGATCCAAGAAATCCGCGCGGAGCGCCAACAATTCATGTGTATGTCTTTTCCTTCCTCGGTCATTACTGTTCCTTATGTCTCGTCTTATTGTTATTATTGTTCGTACTATTATTATTATTAGTAGTATTATTACTATTACTATTACTATTATTATTGTTGTTGTTATTATTAGTATTCTTATTATTGTTATTATTATTAGTATTACTATTATTATTATTTATTATTATTATTATCATTATTATCATTATCGTCATTATTATTATTATTAACATTATTATTATTATTATTATTATTATTATTATTATTCCGTGATTTCTTCGTCGATTGCCGTTTCTTCTTCTTCGATTTCTTCTTCGATGCCGTGTCTTCTCCTTCGGTTCCCGCGGGGGGGGCGGGACCTCGGGCGCGCAGACACCGCGGGCGGGCAGGCAGCGAGGGGGGGCAGGGCACGCGGGCTGCCTGATGATGCCCTGCCCGGGCACGGCGGCGCCGTACCCCGCGAGGGCCCGGGAGCCGCGGCCCATGGCGAACCCGAAGAGCTCCGCCATCTCCCGCTCCTGCCGGGGCGTCGCGCCCGCTGGGCGGGCAGCGCCGGAAGCGGGGGGCTCGGTGGCCACTCGCGGGAGCCTCCCGTGCCCCATCTTGTCGGCTCCTGCGAATCGACGCTCGTCGACGCTGAGTCGACGCTGAATCGCCGCTACATCGACGCTACATCGACGCAAAATCGACGCAAAATCGGGCTATCCCAACGACTCCCGGACGCTAGGCGACGGCATTAAGATGGCACACCAGGCTCCCATGATTTACTACCGAAGGAGGGGGAGGGGGTCTGCGGTCTGCGGCGGTTGGCGGCGCGCACTCAGTCGAGGAACACAAACGGTGTAAGCATGACCTTTCAGAGCTCCGCGCGAATTTCTTGGACCTGCGCCAGACCCGCCTATCGGCGCACCCTGCCCCGTCCCTGGCGGTACAGCGCCGATCCAAGAAACCCGCGTAGACCTCTGACAGTTTATGTGGATCATGCCGTTTTTCGTTGTTCTACTCATAGAGTAGCGCGAGAAAGGCGGCGCTCTAAGAGGGTGGGGCGTCTTCTGAAGTCGCGACGGGGAGGGATGGGCTAGCTGGCGGCATGGAAAGAGTCACTCTTGCGGGAGGGCATCCGAGAGAGGCCGGCAGATCGGCGTCGAGAGGGCCGCGCCGGGGCAGCAGCTGCTCTGCGTGCTCCTGTCTTCAGGCGGCCACGGGCGAAACGAACAGCTTGCCCTGCAGTGTCTCCGACAATCGACATCAGCGCTGTCAAATCCAAGGTCAATGCGGTCACCTCTCGGGAACAGGAACATGAGGTGCAACGATGCGGAGGGCTAGGCATAGGGGGGGCACATCGACCTGGAATCGGGGATACATCGCCAATAGATCGGAGATAGGCCTCCGATAGTGAATCCGCACCGGGCAGGCTGGGGCGATCAGGCACCTATCGGCGATCAATGGGCGATTCGGCGTCAATGCTCCCCTATGTCTATCCCCCCCGATCGTCGCCCCTGAGAACATGACCAGCCTACTGCATGGTTGCAACCGTCAGCATGCAGAACTGACTGTTGTTTCTTCTTTCCAAGGTACCAGTCGTTACCCGGTAACCGTTACCCGGAGGGGAAGTGGTCGGGCGGGAAGGTAGTGGTAACGGCGGCCGCGGCATGCACCCGCCAAGGTTCGTCCGTGCCACCGGCGCATCAATCGCCCGTGCGCACCACAACATGTAGGGGGGGTCCAGCTACGAAAGTCGGAGTTGCGGGGGGTGCTGGGCCCCCAGGCAAAACTGGATGGGTTGCCAGCGACGATTTTGCGCCAACATGGCGATATAAACTTGTGCTGCTCGCCGCAGGCTGGTATTTGACCCTGCTTCGCACTTTCGATTCTGGCGCGGGGCTAATTTTCATTAAATTTTACATTTGGAAATTCCAGGTCGGAACGCTGGCCCCAAACTACAAATTATCGGAGCAATGCGGGCGAAGCCATCCGAATCCACGGGGGCAAAGCCGCGGCGGGCGAGGCACCGACGAAGGCACAGCCACAGACGGCTACTGGATAATGCACTCTGCCACGGGGGGGCCAGGACCGTCCAGCCCCCCCTCCAATACGATCGTTAGCGTAACCTGGGGGGGGGGCGAGGAGGTTCGACCGGGGTAACGAGCGTTACCATGAGGAAGAAAACAGCAACTATCACCAATGGAGAGTATTCGGCATAGGCTTCCAGCGTGAGGCTTAAAACAGAGTATACATGATGTGTCGGGCGAAGGCACGGATACCTCAGTGCAAATCCGTGCGGCTACCATCGATATGTTCCAGGGTGTACCCCCTACTCGCTATTAGTTGGTGTATGATCAAGGCTACTGCTTCGCAGCCGCTCACTACTCAATGTAAACACACATGTAAAACAACTCCGTACCGTCGCGACCACCCGCTTCCTCACAAATGGCAGCCGAGAGATTGTGTAGGGCCTTCCGTCCTGGCTGTGACGCTCATGCGCCTCAAATGTGCAACGCACGCCTGACGGCGATTCATAGCCTTGAGCGGCATATCCTATTCCTGCGCCACGACGACGACCTTACCCTCCTTCGTGCATTCTCCTCCTCCTCGTCCTGTTTCTTCCTCTGCTTGTCGCCACCCCTTTTATTGTACGTGCATCCCCCCTCCTCACCCCATCTTCCCTTCTCCTCGACACGAATTGCTCGTCCTGTTCTTCCTCCTCTTCACACTCCCCCACTCTCTCCTGCCCCTCCTCCCCTCATCTCCTCCTCCTCCCCATCCTCCTCATCCGCCTACTTCTCCGTCTCCTCCTCCACCTACTCCTCCGCATCTCCGCACTCTCCTCCGGCTCCACCCTCTCCTCCTCCTCCTCCTCCTCCTCCTCCTCCTCCTCCTCCTCCTCCTCCTCCTCCTCCTCCTGCTCCCCCTCCTCCCCCTCCTGCTCCTCCTCCGAGGCCTCCGAGAGGAGGGCCGCGGGCTGCCCAGGCTTCGGTCGGGCGTGCCCGCCCCACAGGGGGAGCTTGGGCGAAAACCGACACAGAATGGAACGGACTCCCAAAAGGAGTCGAAAACTGTCAAATCGGGTCGGGCAAAGGGGGGGATAGCAAAGGGATAGAAAGGCGCCGCCTCTGGCGCCTCCCGGCGCCGGAGGCGGCTATGTGTCGAGAAATGGGCCCCTCGGTGAGGCCGAAACCAGCTGCATGCAGCAAATTTCGTAACCCCCCCTTTCCCAATCCCCCCCTTTCGCCCGGCCCGATCAAAGATCTAGTCAGATGAAATCGTCCCCAGAGAAGGACTGCGGGCTGCCCAGAGACCCCCCCTGAGGAAGGAACAAACCACAGATCACGAGGGGCGGTGCTCCGCCCTCTTCGGCCTCTGGGGGCCCCTGCCAGGCCCTCGGGGCCGTCCAGCACGGCTCGAGCCCGGCTCGGGATGGAGAGCGGGTCCCGGGGAAGAGGCCGAAAAGCCTGGGGGCCGCCGTGGGTCCTGGGAGGGAGTCGGGAGACAACGCCTGGGAGGTCTGCGGGGGTGCTTATTCTGAGCAGGGACCGACCGTCCCGGCATTCCTATAGCCCTACCACGAAAGGTTCTCTGAACCCCCAAATGTTCTAAGAACAAAAACAATGTTCTTAGAACATAAACCCGATGTGATACAAAAAGACAGACACCGCCAGAAATGATCTAAGAACATTTCGCGGAAACCACGAAAGGTCCTTAGAGCATTGCTTGGTAGGGCTACAGGCACGCCAGGACGCTTCGCCACTGCTTGATCATTGAAGGACCTGGAGTAACTTACGTAAGCCGGGCAGGGAGAGACTTCAAGTGACCTATAAGAGGTGGAGCGCGGCGCCTGGAGCTCGACTCGACTGCGCATGGCCGGGAGGAGCGCGCCAGGCGGGCCCCGCCTGCCCGCAGCCCGGCGCCCCGGCGGGGCCTCTCCGACAGCCAGCGCGGGCCGCTCGCTGTGGGCGGAGGCGCCAGGCCGCCGGCGGCCCGAAGCCTCCCATGGGAGCACGCCGACACTTTTACCCATCGAAGAAGTCCAGCGGCAGTCGAGGAGGGGAGGGGGGGGAGGGGAGGGGGGCCGGGGCGGCACGCGGCCCATGCGCAGGCCGCCTGAAACGAATTAGTCTGGCGGCCCCGGGCGCAGCACCAGGCGCCCGCGCAGCGCCGCGCGCCAGTCGACGAAAGCAGGCGGGCAGCCAGTCAGTCACGCCACACGTGACGCTGGAGAGCGCGTGGGCGAGGAGGGGCGGTGCCAGCCTGCCCGGCCCCAGCTCTGCGGGAGCAGCGGCACGCCGACCGACTCGAACGCAGCCGAGCCGGGAGAAGTCGCATATCGTCGGACATGGGTAGGCGTGTGAGGCCTCCACGGCCAAGTCGGAATCCGAATCGGAGTCCGAGATCGATGTTCGAATCGGAGTCGGAATCCGCCGAACTCGAATCGAATCGAATCGGAGAAATCGAAGCGAGCCCTCAGAAAAGATGGTGGGGGCCGCGGCCAACTCGAGAGCGTTCTGGAACGCACGGGAGCTCTCTGCCCTCCTCCTCCCAGGCCGCCCTGGCCCAGGCCCACTTGGCGACCGCGCACCGGCGCCAGTCCTCGCCAGAGACCTCTCCAGGGGGGCCCCACAGGCCTCCCCAGGAGAGCCCCAGCCATTCCACGGGGGCCGAAGTTGACTCGCACCAGCTTCGGAGGTTGGCCCTCGCCGGCTCGGCAAGTCCTGCCTGGCCAGGTGCGGCGCTTTGCGGTCACCAACTTCGGAGACCTGTTCTCACCAGTTTCGGAATATCGTTCTCAACTTCGTGGCTTTTCGGGGCCAGGGGAATTGAGACAGCGGCAGCCCAAAATCGGTGCTCGGAGTGGACAAGATCAGTCAGCATCGAACCCGGAAACCCGATCGAATCGGCCTCTGCGTCGGATCTAGGCGTTTAGATCTGGGGCGTTCTTCTGGCCCTTCCTGAGCCACGGGGGGACTTCTCATCGCCGTGGCTGGATTCCTCGCGACATTCTGGTCAGAACGCAGGCTGAGACAGGTCTGGGAATGTATTTGGGCGATTTCGAAAACCCTGAACCCAAAAACGTTCTTATCTCTTGGGGACGCATTTTTACTTCCGCCGCCTTCCGCCGGCCCTCCGCCGGCTTCTCCCGGCGGAGGCGGCCTCGTTCTACTTCCGTCGACCTTCCGCCGCTCTTCCGCCGCCTTCCGCGGCGGAAAAGATGACAGCCCCTTCTATCCTCGAAGCAAGGCCCTTTTTGGAACGCCCCGTTTGTGCCGTTCGAAGCCAGGCTTAGGTCGGGCATGTCCCCCTACAGGCGGATTCCAGACGAAAAACAAAAAATACAAAACATATTCAAAAATATTCAAAAATAGTCGAACCATCGTCCTCATACTACTTCTTGATTGGACCCCCCTGGCGGCGCCTCCGGCGCCGCCCCTTGGCGCGCTTCGCGCGCCAGGGAGGGGGGTCCAGCGCCGATCCGAGAAATCAGCGACGACCTCCGAGCTTGTATGTTTAGGTCATTCTTCGTTTCCCTAGAGAAGGAGAATGCCTTCTCAGAAGGCTCGGAAGTCCCCCAGCCTTCCGAAGACCATCAAAAACTGCTCAGAAGGCGCGAGGGCTTCTGAGCAGGCCCGACGCCTTCTGAGAATGCCTTTTCCTTCTCATTTCCCCCCCTCGCTCGCCGCCGAGAAATGGGTGCGGCAATAATGGGTACGATGCCAAAAAGCAAATCTGGTTCAAAACCTACAGCGGCCTCTGTGGACCAGGCGGCCTCCTGTCTCAAATGGGCAACGTCCGCGGCCACACTGACACCGAGTCCTGCTCAACATGGGCCGGAAATGCTGTCGGTCTTCGGACACTTTCTTTCCGCCCCCATTTCGATAGCACCGACGGGTCGTCACCAAGATGAACAGACAATCTCCAGGGAACGCACCAGGAAGTCAGAGCACCCGCTGCTGCATCAGCGCACGGCCCCTCGCTGACGAGCGCCGGGTGTGCTGATAAGACAACGAATGCTCTGACTTCTGCTGCGTCGCCTCGAGGTTGCCTGCTCCGGGTTACTAAAGTTCTCAAGAGGCGTCGGGGGGGCGCCACCCCCGCGGACAGCCCCACATCGACCCCGCCGCGGGCAGCCACCGCGCGCCGAAGGCGCTCCGACCCCCGTCGCGGCGCGACGACGAGGCGAGGTTGACCCCCGTCGGGGGGGGATCCTCCCCAACGCTTATGAAGAAAGCCAGCAAATTGATCTCGGGCGGATCGCCGAGAACATCGGGGTCTCGAGTCGGATCGGGCTGGCCGAGGCCGAAGTCGCCGCGGAAGGATGCGGAGCGGGGCGGGCCCTATGCGGGCAGGGCCCGCCTCGACCTCGCCGTCGTTGTCGGGGTCGGCGGCGGCGAACAGCTGCCAGATCTCCTCTTGCTCGGTTTTCGGGAGTTTCTGGCGGGCGGGGAAGGGGGGGAGCGCGCCGTGGCCGTCGTCGGCGGGAGGCGGCGGGAGGGAGGGGGGGACAAGCTAGGCGCGCTCGCGTCATATCATACGTCCTACACCCCTGCCCCCCTTTCCCATCGTTTGCCATGGCGTAGATATCCTCTTTCTTCGCACAATCGGATCTCGAGCAGGGCACTTTCCCCTGGAGGGTGCGCGATGCATCGTAGAGCACGGCATAGCAAGGCGTAGACGAGCACGGCAGAGCGTAATATGTCACAGCATGGCGTGGCGTTGCGTAGTGAAGAATCGCACCACAAATCGTTGCAATGGAAATAATAACATCGCACAGAGGCACATAACGGAACACGGCATTGTATGTCGTTGGAAATCAAAGCGTAGCATGGCATAGCATGGCGTGGCACTGCGTTGTGAAGCATTGCATATCCTAGCATTGTAGCTGAAGGCATGGCATCGCACGGCAGAGCACCACATAACATGGCATCGCACGCCGTGGCATGGCACTGGAAATAATGACGCCAACGCTGCAACGGGAGCACGCCTCGGAACGAGCGCAAGAGCGGAAATGAGGCCAACGCTGCAGCGGGAGCACGATTCGGAACGAGCGAAGCGCGGAAATGAGGCCCGCTGCAGCGGGAGCCGATTCCGACAGAGCGGAAGCCCGCGAATGAGGCCAGCGTTTCAGCGGGAGCAACATTTCGAGAAAGACCAACGAAAACCCAACTCCCAGGAATCCTGTGTAAAAGACAGTGAGCGGAGGGGAGCCGAACAGTTTCCGGACACCATCAGGGGAGAGAGGTGGGTGGTATTCATGTTGTGTACTTGTGGAAGGGAAGCGGGGGACAGGACAGGACAGGACATCCGCATAAAGGGGGTCAGCGTCGAAACGCCCGCAGAGCAGCTGTAGGGTACGACTTGCAAAATCCCCTGCGAGTAGAGTATGCCGCAGACCCAGACTTCCCATGGGGCCGACAGGGGGCATACCCCGATGCTCAAAGGGGCGAGCTCCGAGGTGGCCCCGTGAGAGAGGCTCGCGACCTTGTGAATACGAGTCCCTACGGGTCAGTGCTCGAGCGGCGGTCGGCCCTCTCGCGTGCCCATTCCACGGGGGACGCGCTGGGCGAGCAGGATGCAGCCAGCGTGCTACCGCAAGGGAAGCCGAGTCGGGAACGGGGGGACGCTTCCGGCCACGGCAAGCCTCGGCCACACAGACGGCCCCGACCTAGAGCTATGGAGGGCCCAGGAACCGGAGCTCCTCCTGGACCAAGAGTGGTCCTCAGGTTATGCTGCTCCCACCGCGCTTGAGGACCACATCCCACAAATAATTCCGAGCGCCCAGAAAAGTATCGAAACAGTGCCGAACGAGTATCGCATTCCAGGGCCCGACGCGTGAAAACCCTCCAGTTTCGGTACGTCCTTGGCGCTCGAAGTTCGTTCTGGTGATCAAGGCTAAAGTGGGTTGGAGCATCATAATCATTACTGCAGCGTCTCGACTGTATGAAAACGACGGGGAGCTGAGGCGGGAAGAGGAGAAGGACAAGGGGTTTCCAGCCACAGCTCCGACATGCCAGCACAGCGTTAGTTTCTGACCAGGTCGGGGGAAAAAACTTGACGCTGCTCGCCCTGCCCTCCTCTGCAGCTGGAGGCGCCTGCCCTGGAGAAGTCACCTGCCGCCACTCTGCAAGGCCGGCAGGAACCACTCACCAACGCCTCGCGAGCCCCCCGACACACCACCCCGCCGCCCGTGCGGTAGCAGTGGCAGCCGAGGCGGGCGCAGAGAAGCGAGCACTCCGAACAATCAACAGCACCGCAACTGCAACTAGCTTCGTACGGTAGAGGGAAACAATTAGTGAACACCCCCCCCCCTGCCACCGAAACTCAAAGTTGGCACGCGGGGGGGAGACTGCGGTCGAGGTGCAACTCATCAGACCCACCGCCAACTTTGAACATTGGGGGAAGGGGGAGGAGTTCACAGATGAATGTGGCATGAGTGTTCGCTAATTTTTCCGAGGCCTGTATCGAGCCGATAGGGGGTTCAGGCAACAGCCTTTTGGGACACGAATTTCTTATTTGTGGGACGCGGCTTTCCGTAGACCGACCACAAGGTGCGCGCGAGGGGGGCGGTGGCTTTAAATCGGTCCCCGAGTCTGGAGACGGACAATTCGCGCCCCGCTTCCCTCGCAAGCAGACGCGGCACCGAGGGTGCCTCCACACCCGAGCCCAGTCATGAGCGAGACCAAGACCACTGCTAGGACTTGGAAGTGGGCTGGACATGCTCCATCTCTGAGTGGTCACACCACGGCCACAAGGGGAAAGGATCCGAGCGGCAACTTCATCACACAATGAAAGATTTGATACTCACAGTGAAGGAACGTTAGAAGAAGAACACATCTAACAAACATAAGCGTTTTGCTCTCCGCGCGGACTTATTGGATCTGCGCCGCACCTCCTCCCTGGATCGCGGAGCGCGCCAGGCGCCAAAAATGTATGTTCATGGCGCTGTTATTCGATTAGTAGTATTTCTTATGCTTATTATTATTATTAGTATTATCAGTATTATTAATGATATTATTATTATTATTATTATTATTATTGTTATTATTATTATTCCGTGTTTGCTTCGTCGATTGCGTGTTTTCTTGTTCGACTTATTATCCGATGCTGTTCTGGTGTTTTTCTTTCTCGAAGTATAAGCAAGCGAAGCGGAACGAGTTGGGCCTTGCATCGGGCGGGACTCCGCCCCGAGCTTTTCGCTGCGAGGTCCGCGATGGCCACCACCATTACCATAGGTAGGAGAGGGAGGAGGAGGAGGAGCAGGAAGAGGAGGAGGAGGAGGAGGAGGAAAAGGAGCAGGAGGGGGATGAGGAGGAGGAGGAGGAGCAGGAGGAGGAGGAGGGGGAGGGGGAAGGAGGAGGAGGGGGAGGAGGGGGAGGAGGAGGAGGAGGAGGAGGAGAGGAGGAGGAAGAGGAGGAGGAGGAGGAGGTGGTAGCATATGGCAGCGGTGGTGGATGGCATATGGCAGCGGTGGTGCACAAGTTCTGCATATGGCAGCGGTGGCGGACAAGTTGCTCAGCACGCGAGAGCACTGCCGATTTCTCCTGCAGGCTTCCTCCACACACCGCGACCTCGTCGAGCTCGCCCGCCCGCGGGCGCCCGCCGCCTGCCTCGCCGGCCGCCCCTGTGAGCCGAGGCCTCGGCGACGTTGGGGGCATTCCCAGGCGCCCCCGCGCAAGCCTCAAGCAACGGAGCTCCCATAAGCCACACTACAGCCGACCCGTAGCAGGAGGATGCGCGACAAGGATGCAAGGGTCTTGGAAGGCCGTGTCGAAGCTTCTCCTCGAGCGGGGCGCGGCCAACGAAGGCGGCCCAGGATGCACCGAGGAGGCAAGGATGCAAGGGTACCCGTGGGAAGGTTGCCCGTCCTTACTTTGCGGGTTAGCTGTAATCAGAAGGACGGTTGGGGACCTTGCCACACTTGGGCAGGCTCAGAGCAAGACTGAGGGACTGTCCAGGTTTACTCCAGACGCCGCAGGTGCCGAAGAATGCCTCGCCTCGGGCGCTTGCGGGAACTCGGGCCCACGACACCAAGATAGGAAGGCTCCGCAATCCGCAATCTGCGCAGAGGCCCCATCCTTCTCGAGAAAGTCCATGCAATGAGCGATTCGAAAGCAGCTGCCCTCGAGGGAAAGAGTCGCGGAAAAGCCGGACCTAGAGCTCCAGGATAATCCAGACCAACATCATCCAAGCCTGATTCAACTACTTGACTCAGACAAGAGACTCCCAAGGAGGCCTCCAACGAGGCCCTCAGAGCCGAAATAAAAACATTAGGAGCATTCTCACGCGCAGGGAGTCATCGAAACTCATGCTGCTCCACCTCGTGCGAAGAGCCTGCAACGCTCGCACCGCCCCGACGCACAGGCCACCATCCTTCCGCGCAAGAGACGCTCAACTCAAGAACTCGCAAGAGCTGTGTGTGTGTGTGAATGTGTGTGTGTGTGAATGTGTGAATGTGTGAATGTGTGAATGTGTGAATGTGTGAATGTGTGAATGTGTGAATGTGTGAATGTGTGAATGTGTGAATGTGTGAATGTGTGAATGTGTGAATGTGTGAATGTGTGTGTGTGTGGTGGGAGGCGCCGTCGATGGCTAGGAACACCAGCATGGCCGTACAAGGCACACGCTTTCCGATGCGCTTGCCCACCCACGCTAAGTAGCGCGGAAAGCTGGCAGGGGCCACGCTGCCGCGACAGAACTGAACAAAACAATCCTTGGAGTCTCACGCCCGGCATGTCCGCGACCAGGCCGGCAGGAACGGACCCCACCTCCCCCGCCCTATGCCGCACAGACAAGGCGCCAGCCTCATCTGATGGCACGCCTGGTCGCCCTCGCCTGCAGCAAAGACATTCAAAGAACTGCGCCACCTGGTGCGCCTTGCGTTTTCCGGAATGGCATCCCACCTGCAATGTCTCACGTATCTCTCTCTCGCCACCGTACAGACAACAGCAAAGAAAGTGTCCAACCGCTCGGCCCGCGCGCGCGGCAATCAAGGCTGGCCATCCGCCGTCAGGATCCTCTACCATGCGCTGAGCAGACCAGGCCCTTGCGGAAAGCGTCGGGCCCGCACTCGCTGATGTCCAGCACCACGTCGAGGGAGTCCACGCCTAACTGCTTCAGCCATTGCTCAAAAGCCACGCCGCCGTGCACGACGTGCAAGACTTGTTTGTCTCGGACTCGGCGGACGCGCAAGTCGGTCGTAGCAAGTGCGCGGCCACAGCGAAGCGATTTAGGCATCAAGGAGCCCGATGAGTTGGAATAGGAGTGGCCGCGGAGAGAGAGAGAGAGAGAACAACAAAAACACACACAGAAAAAGAAGGCTACGCCATCACAGAAGGGAGCCCGCGTGGCACGACGCGCAGGACACGCAGCCGCGACCCCTCCATGGCTCAAAACCTGCTGTCGAGGCAGGGCGAACGCGGGCAATGTTGTACTCT